ATATGACTGAGTTTCTAAATTGGTAATAAATTGCTTCAATCGACAGTGCATTTACTTAATCCACAGAGCAATGCCTAAACCAAGTGTGAAACCATGAGTTGGCCTATTATTTGGAGCAAAATAATCTTCCAATGTTGGCATTGGTAGACACTCTAAACATTAAAGCAAACATTTGAAATTCCAACTTGTTTTATTTTCTAACAGTTAGAAAGTAGCCAATCAAGATCCACAAATCCAAAAAAGATTTTGAATAACAAAAGTCATAAATGACCTTAAAAATTCATACATGTTGACATCTTGAACAATGTCAAAATTTTTAAATTCATGAACATATGGTTGTTCATCATTTTTGGTCATATTTGGTTTTAGATCACACTTTTTAACCAAATTATTTACATCACTCTCTAGACTAAGGGTTGCAACAAAAGGCTAATTTTTTCTTTCACACATTAATGGGTTGTAAACATTTTTTGAAAATCCAAAAAATATTTCTTCCTTGTAAAATTGCCCCTCTGCCATGGAATTTTTATTCTCATGGCCTTTTGTTTTTTCACCCGTTACAATTGATGAATTAACTTTTTCATCATTCACAACCTTTGAAGGCGTGGAAAGAACAATTGAAAAGCCACAAATTTTGACTTATGTAAGAATTTTTAATATTTCCCTCCATTGATGAATTTCGATCTCAAATTAGTCAATTTGATTATCAAGTTGACCAATCACTTTATCAAAATGATTTCGTGTTTCCAACCTCAAATAATATGACAATGGCGCCATTGTTTGAAATTTTTGTCAATCAAGATAATCAATTTTTTCTTGTAAATATAAAATTTCATTCTCAAGCCAACACTTTTCATCTTCACAAAACCAAATAATTTCATCTATTTTTCTCGACACGTCATTCCATGGAAATTCACTTATTGGAACATCATGTGATTGTGTTTTACGAGATACATCTTCTTGTACTTCATCTTGCCTTCGAATTCTTGTCATCATTCCAAATTAGGAAGATGTCCCACTGGACGTGTCAAAAATTGTTAGTAAAAAATTATGCTAAGTCTTGATCGATAGAGACTTAACAACAATTTTAACCAAACAACCAAACAGACAATCAAACGGCTTTGTAAAGGTTCTAAATGCTTTGAAAGTACATGGACTTCTTTGGAACAATTGAAAGAGTGAAGTATCCAAATAAACAAAGACAACTCTAGATGAAATTATCTTAGTTTACAAGAATTACAAGTCACAAATTACAGAGAAAACTACTCTAAGTTAAGATAGTCTACTACTAAGAATTAAGGTAGACTACTCCTAAAGATAAAGAAAAAAAACTATGATAAGTTTGACGATTTGTTCATCCCTTCTCCAATCTGTCTTCAGTCTATTTGTAGAGTAACAATTGACAATTTCCTATTCGAAGTATAATTGCTGGAGGCAGTTTGGCCACTTCATGAAACAAATCAAGCCACATTCCTTACAAAGTGCAACAAACTGCCCCACGTTGCCAACTTGCCCCCATTTTCTAAGCCCATTTCATCACTTGTAAACCCTAACAAAACAAATAATAAGAATAATAATAATGTGGTCATAGTAGGTATTTAAAGATGATTTATAGTCTAAATCGACAGACCAAAATCAATTAGCCACAATCAATGAGATTAGATTTGGCCATGATTGACATGTCACAATTGACAGGACACAATCAATAAAATTATATTTGGCCACAATCGATAAGCCAAATCAATAAGATTAATAGACAGAAAAATATTTATGGTGCAAACAGTATGTTAACAATTTTTTTATATATTAAGATTTAGATTAGATTAGTAGATAGATACCCACTTTCTTTTCTTGTTGGTTACTTTATTCTTACTTTGCCTTGTATTTTTTTTTTATTTTTTTTGGGGCGGCTTGGAAATTTGCAAAATCGTACAGAGATAATCGATGGAACTCTGATTGCTCCTCCTATTCCAGAGTTTATGGAGAAGATAAAATCCTACTTTAAAGATATAGTATTTTGCTGGCACTGTGCCCAATTTCTTATACAGTTTTGGAAAGTCATAAAAATTGGGGGCAAGCGTTTACTTACCACTCGACACCAACCTTTTGGTTTTAACAAGATTGATGAAGGACTTTGTCAGTATAGGTTGATATCTTTGGATTATGAATTTGATGTGGATCGAGTGAGTGATGAATATCTTGGCCTCCATGGCCGTGTGTTCCGGCATCAACAGTGGGAGTCTACTCCAAATGTGCAGTATTACTCCTGCAAAGAGTATCCACAGTGCGATCGTGCTATCGTTTGCAATATTAAGCAATCTCTGGCTGTACCATTGTTTGACCCTTTGAGGCAACGCTGCATTGGTGTATTTGAGATGGTGTCGACAACTGATATAATAAATGTATATTTGGGGAGTTTCCTTTATTTTGAGGTTTGTCCCCTAACTCCCTAATTGGAATAATCAATCCCACTTTTACGTTCTCTTCTTTACTTTTATTTATTTATTTATTATGCCTATCCAATGATTGTTAATCTTAATCTTCAATGATGGTTTATGGTTCCTTTTTCTTTTTCTTATTTCTTTTGTTGATAGAGCTCAAATTATTTTACTAGTTGGTTCCATTTTACTGGCCAATCCTCAAATTATTTTACTAGTTGGTTCCATTTTACTGGCCAATCTTTTTAATGGTTCATTAATCTTACCCATTCATTAGTTTCATTGTGTAAATCATCTAACATGGAGTTCGTCAACAATTCCTATGCACGTATTGTGCTTTTTATTCTGATATCATATCATTGACATTAATCATTTGGGTAAATTATACTGATCTCTCGTGTGGAAAATTGATAATTTCATTATGATGCACAAGTGCCAACAAAAAATGTCTTATTGTTAGCTCAGTTAACGTTATCATTAATGTAAGGGAAATTGATGTAATTATAACAAAAATATAAGAATTACTATTTTATTTTTTCACCTCTGAAGGGAGGTGAGTAGAATTTACCTAATTGTTTATAGTAGCCCCATTTACTAGGCAATACAGATTTCTGCTCAAAGTGTTGGACCAATTGAAATACTCCATACCAGGGTAAAGTGCACCTGTCCAAAACAACGAAGCTGATCTCGGACAATTATACAATACCTTGGTGCAACCTAAGTTGGTCGGGTTAATAGCCTCAACTGTGTTGATTTTTTCATTTACTGTATGTACAATGTTTTGGTATTATTATTTATAAATCAACTTATTTACTTAAAAAAGATTGACTAATAATGTTTAATTGTAATTTTAAATTATAACTTATTTGATTTATTCAGTTTGTTTGACCCCAAAAAAGGAAAAAAAATTATTCATAATTTATAGCTCTTTTTAACTGAAACCCTTCAATAAGTCTGGCTAGAAGAGTCTCATTTCTTTTGTCTTAATTATTAGAAAAAAAAGTTATGTGACAATTTATTTAATCAAACAGATTCAATTTTTTTTGCACAAATTATCAAAAGTTGTACCAAATAAATTTATAATTTATTTTATTTACTTTTAGCTAATAATGTAAAAAGCTATAGTCATAAAAGTTAACTTATAAGTGATACTATTTTATTTTTGCAAATATCTTTCAGTTTAAATCTCATTTCAATCCCTTGCAGATTCAAAGTTTGACAAGATCAAAATGTGAACATTTGTATCATGAGAAAGTAAGTAGCAAACTGTAATTCAAATGTTAAATCTTGTATTGTTTTGTTCATTAGCTGTTGTAACAACTCTGGGCTAACAAATATGTATTTGTGAATTATTATCAGGTCAAGGATGAAACTCCTGAAGAAATCAAGAAAATGCTAGACATGGTGTATAGCACTCATTATCTACCTTTGGCTCAGACTTGGTCCTTGTGTAGGCTTTGCAATGCAATGTTCAGAAAATATAGAACCTGTCATAGAGAGGGACATATGGGTGATTTTTTAGCTGCATGTGCCTTACAACACCTACGAAAAGGGCAGGGGGTTGTTGGGAGAGCAATTTTGTCCCAAAATTTGGTATTCTGCAAAGATATTACTCAATTTAGCGTAACTGAGTACCCTTTCGCACACTACGCACACAAAGTTGGACTTACCAGTTCTTTTGCAATTCACTTGCGGAGTAGTTATATTGAAGACAATGTTTACGTGCTAGAATTCTTTTTGCCCCCAAACTACACTGAAGGTAGGGATCCGAGGATTGCTTTGGTTCCGTTATTGACAATAATGAAGCAGCATTGTAAAAGTTTTAAGGTCGTTTCTGGAGAAGAACTAGGAGAAGAGTTATCTATTGAAGTTCTTGATTTTTCAGAGGACGGTAAACTTTATTCTTATCAAATACCCCAAACTGCATGATCTCCAAATAAGATGGAGAATGGAGAAGAGACGGTGTTTCTAGATTTATCCTATCAACAATTACTCGAAGTGGATGCACTGGAAACAATATTGTTAGTAACACAGAAGAAAACAACATTGTTTTTACTTCCTCACAGCAAAAACTCATAATTAACTCGTCCCAGAGGCTACAAAGAAAAGCTGGAATTCTAGTTAGCTTGGAGAAGGATGGAAAACTTGATTCTTTTAAAAAACCCCAAAGTGCAAGATCTCCAAATAGAATGGAGAATGGAGAAGAGATGGTGTTTCTAGATTTATCCGATCAACAATTACTAGAAGTGGATGCTATAGACACTGGAAACAATTTTGTTAGTAACACAGAAGATAACAATAGCGCTGTTACTTTTGTACAGCAAAATTGCATAATCAACTTATCCCAGAGGCTACAAAGAAAAGCTGGAATTCCAGTTAGCTTGGAGGATCTCCAGCAACGTTTTGGAATGAAACTTGAAGATGCTGCAAAAAGCCTTGGCGGTAAGCTTACATATTTAGGATACCCGTTCCTAGCTGGATCCTGTGGAAAATTCATATACTTTTGGTAGCAGTAAACAAAGTATATTTTCTTATCTAGAATTTGGATTTTTCGTTTTGCAGTTAGCCGATCTACAGTGAAGCGTGCTTGCAGGGAATATAATGTCACCTGGTGGTCACCTTATAAGAGAAGTAAGGATAACCAATTGTTTTTCAATAAACTTGTCCAAGGTGTTGTTCAGGAACAAATCCTAGGATCTAGTCAGCCTCCAATTTCTGATCCACCTCATATGCAAGACATGGTTACTGCTTCTTGCACAAAGCCACATTTTATAGCAGTGCAAGACGAAAGTATTGTGACCATAAAGGCAAAATATGGAGATGATTTTATTAAATTTCAGCTCCCTGTGTTGTCGGGAATGGTAGAGTTTCAACAGCAAGTGGCAAAGAGGCTGAAACTATAGGGTGGAACTTACCGTGTCAAGCATCAAGACGAGGACAATGACTGGATTTTAATAGCTTGCGATGAGGACTTGCAAAATTGCATTTGCAATTCGATATCACAAGGGAGGAATAAAGTCACAATGTCGATTCAGCCAATTACTAATTGCCCTAATTGCCAATCTTAAATCCTTAGCTGCATGTGGAATTCTCTAGTCTACATTTAAAAGACAATTTGAGGTTTGTATCTTGTATGGTTGTTACAAGTGTGTATGAATTTTATGTACTGCGTGTTGTTTACTTAATTGGTTGTATAATATGATTCAAATTTGTTTGTTAGATTGTAAAAAATTCTTAATCTTAGGGCATGGTATTGTTTTAATCTTAAATTTGGGAAAAAAAAGAAAAAGTAAAAGAAACGAAAGTTAAATTTGTTTCACAAATCTCTTTCCTTCTCTTTTTTTACTCTACAAATCATCCTAAAAATTCAATATCCGAATACAACGCAAGTGACGTTTGAAAATGGCTACAATTGCAAATGACTAAATTTTATTCTAGTCATTAGAATTCAGTGTAGTCTACATTACATTTAGCACTCTTAAATTCTCACGAAATAGTAGCTCTACATACCCAAAACAAAATTATCTAGAATTTAAAATCTAAGACCAAAATGCATTCATGGAGTGATCCCACAACAAGAAGATTAAATCTACACTCTGTATCTTAAATTCAATCAGTTTCTAATTGTTTTTTCTAGTTTTATAAATAAATTTACTTTAATCCCTTCACTTTTATTTAATGACAATCAAACTCTTACATTTTAAATCAAGTTAGAATATAATATCCGTCCACTAGACTTTAAGAGGCTATAATATTTTTTCTTATTTAACAATTCTTCTACTTAATGAAACACACATTTTAAAATAATTCTCCAACAAAATTTGGTGAAGCTCACACAAAAGTGCCACCTTTCTAGTATAAATACACACACATATATATATATATATATTTTTATAGAGAGAGAGAGAGAGAGAGAGAGAGAGAGAGATTTCTTTTCCATGGATATAACCACTTGTTGCTGAACTTGTCATGTATATTTTGAAACTTGAATGCAGACAATTTGGGCATTCTGTATCACATTTAGAGTGTCCTCTGCATATTAGATAGTTCTACAAAAATTGATAAAATGGAAGTGGGAAGGCATATTTGAAGCTGGCTGCTAACTGGCCCTGAAAATGCCGATGGACCAAGCATGTAAATATACAAATCGGAGGATACACATATTTTCATAAACAAATTTTAGAAGCAGTGAAGGCAGTGTCAGCCGCAGCGACACCACATGTAACATGGAATAACTGGCACAATTCGTGATTATGAATATCGGGGGAGATGCAACTGACATATTATCCTCCACATCACCGCCAGTAAGGCTTCCTGCTGCTTTAGTACAGACTGATCAAGGAGCATGTTTCTGAATTCGGAAATTAGGTTTTGAGCGATCTTTCGCAGATTGGGCTGATGCGAGCTCTTTCATGGCTTCCTTTTCTAATTTCTTCTTTTCAGCATCTACCTGCTGCTCATTCTCGTCACGTGTTTTGTCGTACATCTTAACAAAGATAGCCAAGATTTGTGTAACTGCAGGCATAAACCAAAAAAATTAACAAAATTTTTTCTAACTATTATTCACTTAGTTAAATTAAGTGGGAAACTTAAACATTTAATAGAAGATAAGACAAGACAAGACAAGACAAGACAAAATAAAACAAAACAAAAAAAATTACATAGCTCTTTCTTCTGGAGGTTCTGTGGCCGCATTGGCATGCCTACACTACAAGAAAGCAGCCCAAATAACACGGAGCTTTTTGCGACGATGTTTTCAAACTGTCGCCAAAAATGGCCTTTTGTGATGGTGGTGACCCCATCGCTAATGAATATACAAGAAAAATACAGAAACATTTGCGACGCCTGGTGTACCGTCGCAAAATTTTTTTTTTTGGAGACGGGAAACATTTACTGTCGCAAATAGTGGACAATTCGTGACGGAAAAAGTCCTTCGCAAACTAACTCTTGTTAAAACGGCGTCGTTTTATCTGTTAGGATTTATCATTTGTGACAGTTTAAATATGCCGTCGCAAAAAGTAATGAAAATTTTTCTATCCTGCTCATTTTAGCCCATTCGCGATCAAGTTTTCCCCAAAATCCCTAAAACCTTTATGAAGCAAAATCCCCAAAACCCTTCAGTCAAAATTCAACAATGGTGAATGACGATGACGGCTAGCAGCGAGTGACGACAGTGAACGACGACGGCTAGCAGTGAGCGACGACGAGCAGCGAGTGACGATGGTAAGGAGCAGCCAGTCTCAATCGCGCCTCTCACTCACTCAGCGAGTGACGACGACTGTATGCCCTCTCTCTCTCTCTCTCTCTCTCAAAAGGGCGAAACAAAACGAAAAACAAAAAATGCGAGGGAGAGAGAGAAAACAATCTCCAATATATTCAAAATTTTTATAAAAGAAAAAAACCTGAAACGAATCAGGAATGGAGATTCATTCCTCTCCAAAGTGCTCCAAATGTGGCAAGTTTTTTATTATTTTAAATTATATGGTTTAACCGGGACATCTTATTCCAAATAAAGCCACAGGGGTATGACCTTTTTTATTCTTACACCCCCTTTTTTCCCTTCCTCTAAGGGGAGTGAGGGTGAGTTGTTAAAATGGGAGTGTCCTGTGCCATCTACATCTTTATTTTCCTGAAAGAAATAAATCACTAAGGAACAGGACACAAGTCAATATTCATGTATGCATATATGTTTCCAGACATGCACACAAATACACTTGTATGGATTTTTATGCTGGGCATATTCTTCAATGCCATGTTAGTTTTCTAATCAACTTTCATGCTTGTCTTTGTGTTTCAGTTGCATTTGTAATTAGAGTTTGGTGCCTGCTGTTTTTAAGTGTTTCCCAATTTTGTTTTCATTTATTTTTTATTTGATGTCTACTTCATAATGACAAACCTTCATCTTCTTTTTCTTTTTTTTTTTTAATTTTAATTTTTCACAAGGTGTGGGCAATTGCAGATTCCAAACGACAAGGTTTTCTTGGTTTCGCAGAGTTCATTGCTGCAATGCAGGTTCAAATTCATTTTTGTCATTTTTTTTTTTAAAATTTTCCAAATCTTTAAATGGATGTAAAGTCAACTTATCTTTTGCAAATTGACAACTTTTTACTTGTAAATTGCATCTAGTTTCTTTGGCACAAGGTGGACATGCACCAACTAATGATATCTTAAATGGCAAAGGTGAGTAGTGTACGTTGTGCAGTTATTGTCGTAGCCTGTTGGATGCTTGGGTGGTTTGACTGCAAGTTCATGATGACAACCTGAATTGTGGATAAATGATGATCATAGTTTGGGTAAAATATTTTAGCCTCTTGCAGTTGACTTGGAAAATCTAAAGCCTCCTGTCATGGACGGTTTGGATGCAATACTAGCTGTAAGTATACTAATGTTTTTGTTAAATTGTTTTCTAAATTATTTTATGGAAGTCTTAACTTGCTAATTGATAATATTCAGAAGAAGAAAAAGCGTGCATCTAAAACAAGTGACCCTGAACTGAATGGTAAAAAGTTTTTTCTCTTTAACTATAGAAATACCATTTTTCTTTTATGTGCACTAATCAACAATGATGCAGGTAGTTTGCCACAATCTTCATCAGCTAATTGGTTTACTTCTACAAAATCCATGAAGAAGGTACATGTTGCAAATTTAGTTAACAAGTGACTGAATTTAGTTATACATCTGAGAATTTTTGTCACCTTTTCATTCTTACCTCGGTTATTATGGGATCCTAAATGTCATATATAATTGTTTAATTTGACTTCCTCTCTTATGCCTTAGTTCTGAGAATGGTGCTTTCTTTCTCTCATTCATTATCTTATCAGGTGCCTATATCCTCTGTTACATCAATTGTTGATGGCTTGAAGAAGTTGTACATACAGAAATTGAAGCCATTGGAAGTGACATATCGGTTCAACGATTTTGAGTCCCCTTTATTGGTGAGTGATAAATGCATATAGCCATAATTACCTGAATGAAATGCTAGAATGCTCGTGATTCAGTTTCTTTTTCTTTGTATTTTCACAAACTTATAAACAGTTTTATGGCTGTTTCCATATAAATATGTATACATTGTTTAGTACTTGCTTTTGGTGTGTTGTTTTTGGCAGACAAACAGTGATTTTGATGTAAACCTATGGTTATGCTGCTGGGTCAATACTCCAGGGGGAAAACAACATTCATTAAACATTTACTGACAAGTAGTTATCCAGGCATGATATTTTCTGTCTCTCTATCTCTGTCTCTGGCAAGTGGAAAAATTAATTTTGTTTGTCTGTCTTCATTTTCAACAGGAGCTCACATTGGACCTGAGCCAACAACTGGTAGATTTGTTGTTGCTATGGTATTTATAAAAACATCAGTGTGTTTGGTTTGAGTTTTCTGGATTAAGTTTTTTGAAAACTGAGTTTCTTGGTTTTCATGTTTTTTTTTTTGTTTTTAGTGAATATTTTTAAAATTTTAAACATTTTTTTTTTTATTTTTTTAGATTCACCTTACTTAGATGTATCTAAAAAGTAAAAAAATTATGAAAAAATATTTTAAAAAATTAATAAATACATAAAAATACAAAAAATGTACTGAATTCTTGTACTTTTTTTGTATTTTTGGTATTTAGTGAATTTTTAAATTTTTTTTTACTTTTGAGATATATTTATGTTGGGTGTGTCTAAAAAGTAAAAAAATTGCTTAAAATATTAAAAAAATTCAGTAAAAACAAAAAAACACGGAAAATAAGAAAGTAGAATTTTCTGAAAAGTGTTTTTTGAAAAATGAAAACATTTGTTTTTGCAAAATATATATATATATCTTGACATCTCAACTAAAATAAATGCTATGATACAGTGATGTTTTAATTGCTGAAAGAGAAACATAGATCTTGTAGTGAAAGTTTAACAATAAATAGATAAAGATAATTTGCTTC